AGAGACAAAAAAGCATACAGAGAATTTGACCTTGACATTGACTAATGAGAATGTTGTCATATTGTCACCCACTTGTGTCGGCCATATGACAATGAACCTGAAAAATGACATCTTTTTCTTCTTCTTTAAATTCCTCATGGAATAAGAAGCTCCTTTTTTTTAACCTATTAGTAATTCAGTATTTTGCATGTTTTTTCTTTCTTTTACTATACCTCGTGGGTTTTGTCGTTTTAAACTTGTTAATTCTTTTATTTTATTTTATTTTATCAATTATAAATTTTTATTAGATAAACTTCAACAGTACAGCTAAAGACATCAATACGACATCTAAAGTACTCATTTCAAGAGGGTAATAAACGAACATATAAAGTACTCATTTTAAGAGGGTAATAAACGAACATGTTAATCAAAACTAAAGCAGATAAAAACCACACTAAAACTCGTTAATTCGTAAATGTCACAAAACAAGAATTAACAGGTAAGAAAGCAAATAATAGCAATTTATAAAATAATGTGTTAGACGATCTAATAAGAGAATAATTCGCTCAACCACTTTTACTTTCTTCTATAAATGAGAGTAATCAATGGCTCCTATCTATAAAATATCAAATTAATCACATCTGAATTAAAATGATTTGTAGTCACACATGTCTCACACACCATAAAAAAATATATCTGTATCAGAAGTTTCAAATGACAAGTTGCCCTTAGACGCCACGAATGAGGTCAGCTTTCATTTGGAGATGCATGGATTTGGCAAATCACAATCATGTGGTCCCAAATTTGTCAATTTTTCCAAACAAAACTACAAAAACCACGTTTTATTTCCATAATTTCTTTTTGTTTATTGTGGTATGATTGAAAATATTCTTTTCACTTTTCATAGAATACAAAGTCAGTCACGCATGTCGTTTTCTTCAATCTTTACTCACCAAGTGAAACAATTTTCAATTCCATAGCATTTAAATTACCAAAAACTTGATTTAAATGGCTCAAGTATTATTGAAGCCGAAATAGGAACAGTGCCTGTAGTGAGCTACAAAATTGTTTAATTTGCTCGAAGAAAGATAAGAAAAAGAAAAAGAAAATAAATATGAAATTGCCATGGTCTTCCAAGTAGGAGTTGACTGAAGACTTTTGGAGTGTGACGTAAATAAACTGCACGCTCACTTTGAAGACGTGGAACACAAGTTTTCAAGTGAATTGGCAATGAATCACATGTACACGTTTGGGTTTGACTTTGCTTACACTACTTCTTGAGATGGAATTTAGACTATTGTTGGTACAAATGCACATGGAGAAAAGGTATAAACAACTTAATTAGACGGTATGCTCACGTTTGGATTAAATTGAATAGTTACAAGATATTTTATGGGGATTATTGGAATTGGTAAATTTCATTCATAATTCAAAAAAAAATAAAAAAAAATTTCATTCGTTCATAATTACTCTAACCCTAGACACCAAACTCAGCTTATTAGTCTTATAGCGTGGAGACTTAAACCCTTAATATTTTGGATGGTTATTGAGTATGGGAGCCTTCGATTGATGAGCTAGCATACCATTGCTCATAAAAATTTGTTAACTGAGGAGCTATTAAAACGTAATAGCAAAGGTTTCTCATAAAGAAAAACCCTAAGAAAAATCTCAGTCGCCACCCTTTTCGGGACAATGGCCTCCCTTCCTACCCACGTCGCCATGAAATAGTCATCGTCTTTTGGCCCACACATACAAGGAACATGTCGGGTTGCATCGAATTTAGACTTAGTCAATGAGGCACTATGGATTTAGCCAGTATGGCTCTAGAGCGGATATGCACTTGCTGGTGTTTTTTTTCCGTAGGCTTAGTGATATAAGCCAAATTTAAGTAAAGTAAATAATAGTCTAGCCCTCTATTTAAAATAAGGCTATCTGTCTATGTAGAAATAAGCCCACTCTTGAAGCATATAGGAAATAGTAAACATGCAATCTATAACCAATAATTTTTTTTTTTTGGGTGAACCAAAGTGTGCTATCACTCCGAGTTGGGACTGTTTATTGTAAAGCTCTCCCCATGAGGTGTTTTTCACATGCTGGGTTTCGAACTTCGTTCCCCCAACTGCAAGAATTAGCCAGTATCTGCTAAACCAAACCCCTTGGGTATAACCTATATAAATTTGATTAGAAGCAAACATTAAAATTTTTCTTATAGCAATCCAAAACGCCATATTTGAACCTTCAAAGCCTAGAAGAAATAGGTCTCCCCCTCTAAAAAATTGTACCAACCTATCTTCAGTGGGTTCTTCAATCTTGGTAAGTTTTTCTCTCTTTTTTTATATTCAATTTCCAATTTTAATTGTTGTTGTTAAGTTTTTATGATTTAGGGTTTAGGTGAAAACTTTTGGGCATTGTTATATATGTTTTATTTTTGTAACTTGAATTATTAATTAGCATATATGATTTTTGGTGCCTAATATTTCTTGTTAGGATATCATGTCACATGATGATAAAAGACAGGCAAAGAGAGGAAAAACTATTTATTCATTCTTCAAAAAAAGTGATAACGATAACAAGGATACACATTCTGCATTTGATGTTGATACTTCAATTCCTGAGGAACTTACTCAACTTGGATTTCAAGTAGTTGAACAATGTGTTTGATTTTATATTTATTTATATTTTGTACTTCTTTGTGTTATATTTGCTCGTACTATTGTCAAGTTTGATTTATAAAATTTTAGTTACATTTTTTTTTCAAGTGAAAAAAGGCTTATAATATATCTCCTGTAAAAAATAAAATTTAGCCTACTGCTATAAAAATTCCTGGATATGCCATTGGCGCTATGGCTCCCTTTGGTTGCTCAAGAAGATGTGGAGTGGTAGTACTGCTTTAGGTTGTTTAAGTCTAATAATTCTTAAGAACTCTTTAGGAGTTTGTTGTGGTTTGTCTTATCATTAGATTATTTTATTTCTATTTAACTTTGGCTTTCGATATGGATTTGTCGTTTTTGCCGTTGCACGACGAATCTATAGCAGGTTTGAGTACTTGTGCTTCTAGTTGATGAATCAAGGATTTTAGTCATCTTTGGACGCACATTTTTCAGAAATACATCTCTATATATTGACTAATTTTTGAGAATAATTGTATAATTAACATTGTTTCTAAATAAATTTGATCTTAAAAGAATTTAAGAATTGTTGCAAGTATCGAATATTACTAAGCCCAAGTGGTTAAAATCAATGAAGGGCTTGAATGCAATTAAAAATTTATAAATTTGTACTCAAGCATACAAAAAGAGGAATTTCAGGTAAGACTTCAACCCAAAACCTACGTGGTCTGATTAACTGGATTTTAGCAATTATGCAGAATAGTTAAATGAGGGAAGTTAGACAATTAATTGCAAAGATGGTGGGGTGGGCGAAACTGGGTCAAGACGGGTCGCTCTTTTCCACTATGAATCCAGCCCCTTACGCCTCCAGATACATGTAATTAAACCAACACCAACCGGGTCGTTCGGGTGGGGCATGAAAGACTTTGCCTTAATGACTTGGGTTGTGTTAAGTTTAATACATGCAATGTATTTTTTTTTAGTTTGATTTATAGGGAAGGGGGAGAGTAGATGAAAAGTCAAAATTTTGCTGTGAATACGTACTCATGTTATAATATGGGTGGACGACATAGTTGATATTTCTCATTTTTAGAAATTAATATCAATAAATATCAACTTTGTGAACAAATTATACCACGTTTATCTTCTTATGTTTTTAGGACATTTCGGAATTAATCCCATGACCTTTTCTGGACGAGCAATTGCCTTAAACCACTACATTAGTATGTATTTTGCACAAAGCGTTGGCAATCCAACCACGCAATTGTATGCACATAGGAGAAATATTGCTTCTAAACCTCGAATACAGTGTATTTAGTAGGTTGATCAAGTGCAAAGTTTGATTAAAATGTAGGTTGAATTGCAAGTGGATCATGTTTTATATCGTTATATAGATATATGCGTGGACTAAATATGCTTGATGGGCCATGGCGACCAGATAAGTATAAATATAGGACGTAACGGTCAATATATCCATTGAACCTGTAAACGCAGTCTTCCGTGTTCTCATTCATGAATAGAGGTTTTTTTGTTGCCTTTTCATGTCTGCGTTGAATTAGATTATATATACGACCAAATTTACGTACGAATACTAATCTTTGAGAGAAAACAAGAACATATACGAACCAAATTAATGATTCGGTCTTCCTTCTTTGCACGTGTGTGAGAGACTGAGAATTCAGAAATTCTTCTCGCTTGATTAGCTGGACTAGATAATAATTTTCCAAATTTTGCTGAAAATGACAATTAAATATTAATTTGTTTGGTTTGGTTTATTATGGTGGTAATTGCTTAATTCCAAAAAACATAAATATCCGATTGGACTTGGGAAATGACCGGAGATTATTCTCGTCAACATGTGAAAGCTGTAAAATGATTGATACACATGGCTCTCTATCTCTGTCTATATATATATTGCCTGGAAGATAAGCTAATGAGGAAATATTTTGAAAATTAAGAATAATCAGAGCTTTTGACTTTTTCAATTTTCTTTTACAAAACCCCATGTTATTTAGAGTCGGCTCAAGTTATTGGAAAAGTTTTTACTCATGTATGCCATACTGATAATGAGACGGCTCCTTTAAAGTCGTCTTTTGTTCTCTTTTTTCTCATGTTGATCTAATAAAATTTTATCGTGTGTTTATTGATTAATTATTTTCAGTCACAAAAAGGAATCAGAAAAAAAGTGGATTTCAAACAAACCCACTCACTTGATAAGTTTTTCCCAGCAGCCCAATTAACAAAAATGTGGGCTCTTGTTGAAACCTAAAGCGTTGTGCCTTCTCTCATTGAAAAAGTTCGAAAAGCCCATGAAAGAGCTTTTAGAACTCATCATTCTAATCTGAGGTTGGTTGGATTTTGCTTGGTTCTACCAAGCCATCCCCCAAAAGCACAAGTTGTACACTATGAAGTATGAATCATGTCATTATTTACACCAAACCGTCCTTGGTCGTATTCTTTGATCACGTGTGGAAAGAGATAGAGAATATTATATTTGATCACGTGAGGAAAGAGATAGAGAATATTATATTTGATCACGTGAGGAAAGAGATAGAGAATATTATATTTGATCACGTGAGGAAAGAGATAGAGAATATTATATTTGATCACGTGAGGAAAGAGATAGAGAATATTATATTTGATCACGTGAGGAAAGAGATAGAGAATATTATATTTGATCACGTGAGGAAAGAGATAGAGAATATTATATTTGATCACGTGAGGAAAGAGATAGAGAATATTATATTTGATCACGTGAGGAAAGAGATAGAGAATATTATATTTGATCACGTGAGGAAAGAGATAGAGAATATTATATTTGATCACGTGAGGAAAGAGATAGAGAATATTATATTTGATCACGTGAGGAAAGAGATAGAGAATATTATATTTGATCACGTGAGGAAAGAGATAGAGAATATTATATTTGATCACGTGAGGAAAGAGATAGAGAATATTATATTTGATCACGTGAGGAAAGAGATAGAGAATATTATGTACGACGCTAAGCGATTACCTAAACATAGGAATGTAGAGGTAATGATCACATTGGCCAATCAAACAACTTAAATTTACCTACTAATAAAAAAAAGTACTTCAACTAATAATCTTGGTAGTGAAGAATCATATTGACTTAACGAAATTACAACTAATATTGAAGCAACGAAAGTTCATGGCATCTTTATGTTTTATTGAAATGGCAAATTTCAGTATCTGACTCTTTCCAAAGAGATTGTTCTGTTTCGATAGCTACCTTTTAAAACTCTAATCTACTTATAAAAAAAATAATTAACTTTTAGTAAATAGTCTCCAATATTTTCCAAGAGACCCAAAAAAACACAACAAATGCTATGAGCCTTTTGGATATTTTATGATAACAACAAATTTAAGTTGCCATAACTAATTTTAAAAAAAAGCTTCCTTATTTCATTAATAACGTATGCTCTTTCTTTAAAACAAAATATAATTTGTTTTAAATCCTATGAAAAAGCTTCCTTATCGGAAGCATATATATCTCAAGGATAACTTGGATAGTTTGCACCCAACTTTCTAGAGCAAAATTTTCAATTATGATAAGAAGACTTGTGTGGAAGACAATGGTATTGGTGATTATATTTGTGGCAATATTTCCATGCAAGCCAATGGAGAACTCAACCATCGAAACGTCTTCTCCAAGCGTTGAAATGTTTAACATGACATGCTTTTATGAATGTGCAATGGAATGTTATGACAATTTCCATCGGCCATCAATTGATTTCTCGGTTTTTCTTGCAGATCCATAAAAATGTAATGCACTTATTTTGACAATATAAGTAGGAGGTGGATACACACTGGACTCTAAACTATAAAACCAGATCCATCAAAATTCATGAACGGAAATAAAAGCTTTTCTAAACTACCAAATATTTTATATTTTGATCTTGATCTTAGTTTCAATGGTGGTGACAACCATAGAGTTAAAAGCTTCAAAAAACCTGTTTCACAACATATATGCCTTTTGGTTGTTATTGGTCAACAAAATGATACTTGGTATCATGTTCTCAATATGATGCTCATTTTTCTGATGGTTGTGATTCATTTGAGAATAATGAAAATTATTAAACTAACACCTGTGTGCACAGATAAAGCTTCTTTTTATTTATTCATTGAAAACTGCATAAAAAGTTAGCAGCTGTATGTTTCATGAAAGTAAGTTTATGCAGGAAATACTACATGGGATAAAACTTTTCGTTTGCATACGGTCCCTACTTTATGTTGCAGTATTATTAGGAAAGTGCACGTCTTTATTTGCAAATTACAGTTTGACACCACTTGTGTGGTCTTATTACGCATGTACTCAAGGAAGACGTTGCTAGAAAGTACTTTCAACAACTCGTAAGCGCTGTTGAATTTTGTCACAGTCGCGGTGTCTCACACCGCGACCTAAAGCCAGAAAACCTTCTTCTGGACGAAAATGGAGATCTGAAGGTCTCCGATTTCGGATTGTCAGCATTACCAGAGCATCATTGGAGCGACGGTATGCTTCACACGCAGTGTGGCACGCCGGCTTACGTGGCGCTTGAGATTTTGAGGAAAAAAGGGTATGATGGAGCAAAGGCAGACATATGGTCTTGTGGGGTTGTTCTCTTTGTTTTTCTTGCCGGCTACTTGCCATTTCTGGATGAGAATGTGATGAGAACTTATACGAAGGTTTTCAAAGCTGAGTATGAATTTCCACCTTGGATTTCAGGGGAGGCAAGGTTGTTGATAAAAAAGGTTTTGGTTGTTGACCCGGAAAAGAGAATTTCGTTTCAGGAGATAATGAGGGATCCTTGGTTTCAAAAGGGTTCAAATTTTCCTAGGCCAATTAGGGTTCCCAATTCCATTGAAAGCGACCAAAACAGAAAGGATGATAGAAATGGAAATTTGGGTAGGTCAAGAAGTGGTAACATTACTACTAGTACTACAAAATATTCATCATCATCTCCACCATTTTTCAATGCTTTCGAATTCATATCGTCCATGTCATCCGGGTTTGACTTGTCGAACATGTTCGAGGACAAGAGGAAATCGGGGTCGATGTTCACGTCCAAGTGCTCTGCCTCCGCGATCATGGTGAAGCTGCGGGTGGTGGCGGAGAGGTTGAATTTTAGAGTGGTGTGTGAGAAGGAATTCAAGGTGAAATTGCAAGGGAAAAAGGAGGGGAGGAAGGGGAAGTTGGCAGTGTCGGCGGAGTTGTTTCAGGTGGCGACGGAAGTGGAGGTGGTGAAGTTCTCAAAATTGGCCGGTGACACTCTTGAGTACACCAAGTTTTGTGAGGAGGACGTGAGGCCTGCACTTAAGGACATTGTTTGGACTTGGCAAGGTGAAGAAAATGAGTGTGAACTAAAAAATGTTGAAAATCTTGACTGTCATTAACCGTATGGATAAGTCTCTTCAAGATGGAGGTAAATAAACACTACCGAGGAAAACCCCTTAGATCTCGATCTTAAGGCCCTTTTCACAACTTTTATTTTATAATAGCCTCGATTCCACACAGTCTCTTTGTTGTCCCTATAATTTCCTCTTTATTGTCCCTATGCCTTTTTAATGCAAGAGGGGGCTATTTTAGAATTGTGAAAAAGGTTATTTTAGTCAATTTTACCTTTTTTTTTTTATAGCTTAACTGTCATCAACTGTATGGGTAAAAGTTACTGCAAGAATTTTGGAATTTTCTATAATGCATATGTCATAAGTAATTATATTCTGATGCACAAGACATTCGAAATAATTGGATTCCACGCCTGGGTTATTACTTGCTCAATATCCTTCGCTTGAAGCTAGGTTACCTCAAAGCGAAAAGTAGGGATGTTCCTTTCTATTTTCATGAATTGGATGATGTAGTTGGAGTAGGATAGATATGTGATCTGAGATGGTTGGGAGTACACTGTCTAGTCGCTCTTTGATCCCCTTATGCTTGCGATTGAACTAGGTGAAAAGGGATCCCACAAAACTAAGCACACAATCTGCTAATGTAGCACTTTTCTGACTGGTCCAAGGTTGGCACCTTCTTTCTCACTATTAACAAAGAGTTCATTCAAATCACCAAGGCAGACCTATGCGAGCGATGAGTTCTGTGCTAGGTGGCGAATAAGGTCCTAAGATAGGTGTCTGTCTTCGGTGGAGGGGTGTCCATAAAACCATGTGAGTCTCCAGTGTTCTTTGTCACCAATCCCACCAAGTTATGCGTCAATATGATGGGGAAAGAAAAGAAGGATCATATGTGTAAATTAGCCTCCAACTTCCATAAAAAACATACTCCACCTGACCTACCGACATGAACCACTACAAAAATGTTGTTTAAACTTAAACTGAATTTTAAGGAGGAGATACTGAACTCAGGAAGAGGACGAATATATATGAATAGTTCAAATCACATAGGTAATTATATATAGGGGTTTATACAAATTGGGAGCCCTTCCAATTTAGGGGCCCTAGAAGACTGCCTTGCCTAGTTATGCCAAGGGCCTCCCTTGCTTGGAAATTGGAACTGAAATAAAATTGGTTATTGTGCCCCTGAGAAAAAGCTGATTATTATTGCCTCAGTAAGATAAAGTTGCCTGTATTGGTGGCTCTCCAAATCATGGGTTCTCTTTTTCTGAACATTGCCTTTGTTTTCTTTTGAATACATACTTTTGGTTTGTACCATTTATTTGCGCAGAATATTATTATGCTTGGAGGAAAATACCATAATGCTATTCCACTCCCCATCCGTTCGATGTCATCCATAGAAATTACCAGCCGTCCGATTCTTTCTCCAACTTGTCCCCCGCACAAAATCTAATCTAAAGTTATAAACCACACAACCAAAGTACATGGACGATGCTTTGGTAGACCACACCAAATTTTATTCTATTTTTATTTCTTCTTTAAATAGTGAAATCTCTGACTTAAACAAATACGTACAAAGTTGACCGACCTGTCATTTCGCGATTCATGGGCTTAAAACGCACGACGGCCACGGGCTACGGGAATTTATCGTAGATCTCCTCAAATAGTGGCAGGTAAGGACCACATAAAATGGTAGCCGTTGGATTCGGTCAAGATTTGTGGAGTCTTTGTCACAAACACTATTTATAAAAGATGTATTATGTCTTTATCAAAAATATTCTCTTTTGCAATATGAAATTGAAATATGCGCTCTCATCTATTTGGGGATAATTAATTCTTAGTCCAAAGTCTACTTTATTAAAGCAAGGAGAAAATTGTGTTTAATATTCTTTAAATATTATTTAAAAAAAAAGATAATATAATTCTCACCTAATATTCTACTCTTTCTACAAATTCTTAATACTATGTTGCATTTATTTTTTTTTCATTTATTTTGTTTTGTCTCACAATTCTTTTCCTTTCTTCTCTTCAAGTCACGCCACGACTAAAAACTTTTTCTTTCTTTTACCAAAGTGCAAGAGAGAAATTTAAAAAAATATTTGTAAGCATAAGTACTACTAGGGTAGGAAGTTACAAATTCACATGATTTTTTAATGGTAAAGGAGTTGGTACGAGCATGGCTGGTCCTGAGATTTTGAGGGCCCGGGGTGAAACTTAAACTGGAGCCCTCACGTAATCTAATATGAAAATACTAATTTTTTTTCCTCATGACTTAATGTCATAAATCAATTTTTTTATACTTAAAATTCATCATCAATTAGCATGTAATAACAATCACAAATCAAATTCATATATATATATTTTTTATTGTTTTCATTTGATAAAGTTAAATATTAGTATGTTCAGTTAAAAAAAATAAGAGTTCAAGAGAAAGAAGAATGCATGAATTTTTTTGGGTTTTGTTTTGAGTGGAAGAAAGTACTTTTTTTTTATAAAAAAAGGAGAAAGAATATGGATGTGATATATATTGCTATCAGTTTAGTTGGATCTTTCCCCTTTTTTCACGTGCTTCTTTTTTAAAACTATTTTAAATGTTGTTGTTATAATGAAAAAAGAATAAAATTATGAATAGATTGATTGAGACTTGAATCTGGGCCTTGTACCAAGAGTTATGCATTAAAAACCAACTCGATCAAATATACTTATGTATTAATGTGGTGCATGCTAGAGTATATATACAGTTTTTAATATTATATATATATATATATATATATAATATAATATAAAGAAAAAAAATTTCGGGGGCCCTGTGGGGTGGCGCCACTTGCACCATGTCAGGGCCGCCCCTGGGTACGAGACGTCTTAGGTTAAACTTCTAAAGTATGAATATTCAAAGGTTACCTCATTTGTGGGGTAATTCAATGTCATCTAGAGTTTACTTTAAGAAAATTTTATTTCACAAAGGAGAGTCTTAGAAAGTTTGGCCTAAAAAAAAGTCTTCGAAATCCACCAAATCGATAAAGAAAGTTGGAATTGTTATGGCCTAAAATTCACTATGTATTTCCTTCAAAGTCAATAACTTTTGTAATACACCTGAATTGTGTATGGTTTATACAAGTTACGTGAAATACACCTAAAACTTTAATTGGATACACATTCACATGAAATACCCCTCAAATTTTAAGCTTCTTTAAGATTCATTCAAACCATGATTGAATACACCCGTTAATTAGTTGGTGCGAAAAAAAAAGGTTAGAAAATATCTTTTTGAGAATTATTTTTTTTAATCATTTTCTGGAGATAATAAAAATGGAAATAGTAGCATAAAGTAATGAAACTTGGGAACGAAAGAGACACACACGTACTTCAGTATTTTTGGTGGGATCGGAAACAAACAAACAAACAAAACAAAGTGTTTGTTAAAAGAGAATGAGTCTTTCTGACTATACGTGAGAGAGATAGAGACATTAGTGTAGCTGCTAGCTTGCGTTCTTTAAGAAGAGCACTCGAGGGGAAGAGCCATTCAGCAACTGACTCCATTTTCGCAGAGAGAGAGAGAGAGAGAGAGAGAGAGAGAGAGAGAGTTGAGTTTCTGTTTGTGTAAGTTGATGCCATAAGGGTTCTGATGTATGTGATGTGAACTGTTGTTTCTGCTCATTCTCTGGAAAAAAGACTTCAATCCAGGTTTGTGTAGCCTTCTCAATATGTCTATTCAGTTGTGCTTGGATTTCCATCTTTCTCTATTTACCTATACTTGGTTGCCCACAAAGTATTTGAAGAAAGGTGGATTTGAATATTAACGGCTTATCATTATTTGGGATCCAATTTTGTAATTTTGTTCCATCAAATGAGCTTTGGTTGCATAACCCATTTCTTTTTTCTTTCATTTTCAACTGGGCAGCAGCAGAATCCTGTCCTGGAAATTCATTCAAAGTTGGTTACTTTTCTTTCAGCCTTTTACCACCAAATAGAGGGTAGTTCCCATCATATCCCAGCTTTGTAATTAATACTTTATGTTAAGTTATCCCAGTTTGAAAGTGCTGTCATGAGAAAACAGATTCTCATTGTAATTTGAGTACTGGTGAACTGTAATGTGAGGTTTCTTCACTATAATAGAAGCTTTTCTCTTTCAGCAGTGCTAAAGTAGAGGGTGGAAAAGATGGCTGTGACGAGTTCGAATTCTGAGCAGCCACAGTTCATTGCAAGCACTGGAAACCGAAGCTTCTCAAATGCGCCGCTGATTGAGAACACAGATACAGATCAAATTGTTGTTCCTGATGTGAGTTTGATGTGCTAGTTGTCATATTTTATGCAATTTGTTTCAATCTTAGTATATTATCATTGTTTATGCCATTCAATGGGAAATATGGCCACAATTACAGAGTGGAAAGTGAAAGCAATTTTAACTCATAGTCAGACTAGGCTAGGGCGGAGATTGGTATATAGGCAACCCCAAATTGTTTGAAATAAGCATATATTGGATTAAATGAAACATTTACTTCTTTGTATATTTTTATAAGAAATTCCATGATCTGTCCTGAGAATTTGTTTTCTTGTGTACTTTTTTGGTAATGATTTAACTATGCTGAGCAAATCAGGCCTAGAAGGTGAAATGGGATTAGGTCAATCAGAAACAGGAATCACGTTGTGTTTGGAAATGATGTAAGAATGACAAACTTAGGTGGTTTTCATTGATACATCACCTTGTAAGTGGAGAGGGCTGCAGGGGTGTTGGGGTGGATGACTGAAAACATTCTATAGAAAGTGGATGATTAACTGAAAACATTCTTTGAATATATATATTTTTTTGGTTAAAGAAAAGATATAGCCACCAACTAGCTCTTCAGTGGTATTTCTCTTCCTAATGTTGGAAGAAGAGGTCTCAAGTTCGAATTTTCCCTCCCTGTTGGTCACAAAAAGAAAAAGAAAAAAGAAACAAGATATAGGCAAGCTCAGGAGCTGACACACGGTATTAACAAAATCCAAGTAAAAGTGGAAAATCTGATTTGTGTTCCGTTGGGATGCAGAGAATTCACCATGATACCTGC